AGTGGGATTGAGTTAAAGTTGAGTTAAATATTTGAGTTGAAAAAATTGGATTGAAAAAATTCATAAACAAGCATGCCCTTAGGTTTCACGGTATCACCGGTCACAATCACTATATATACCCTATATTTTGCCCCAAACCTCAGCTCGACTCACTCCATAAACCCCGAATCGCGCTTCTTCGAAACCCTAGAAATCTCTGATATTCTGCACCATCCATCTCCTGTTAAGCCTGCTAATGGCGATACTCTCTGACTTCGAGGAGGACGACCACAGGAAGCCGTTGTCGTCGTCTTCATCGGCGGCGGCGAGGAAGCCGTTCAACGCCGCCCTCGATCCGTCGGATCCGCTGGGGTTTCTGGAGAAGGTCTTCGAGTTCGTGGCCAGGGAGAGCGATCTGTTCAAGAGCGACTCCCTGGTTAAGGATGTGAGTGCGGTGGTGAGGATGGTGAAAGATAAGGTGGAGGCGGAGGAGAAGAGGAGGAAAGAAGCGAAAGCAGAGGCGGCGGTCAAGAAGGCGGCGGCTGTGAAGGTGGCTGCGGCGCCACCTGCGCCGGCAGTGAAAAAGGAGGAGACCGTGAAGGAAGTGGTTGAGGAGAAGAAGGAAAGCGAGAGTAAAGCGGAAGTGGACGAGAAGGGACGTCGAGGTTAGTTAATTATGTTCTCACTTTAGATCTTACTTCGCCCCCAAAATTTTGTCTTTTTAATTGTACATTTTGTAGGTTGTTAATTTTCTTGTTGTTTGGGCTTCTCAATAGCAGTAATTGAATGATTATTGGCCCTATTTTAAAAATTTTGCAACTTGGATTATTTGGGTTAACTTAGTGAGCTTCAGATTTGTTCGACTTGCACTGGTGTAGCATTAGATAATCAAAGAGCAGGTATAGGACAACGGCACTTGGTTATTTGTTGGATTTGAGAATTGTTGGCCCAGTATGGCAATTGGTAATTAGTTCATTGAGTTATAGCTTTTTGTATTTATTGGGTAAAAGTGTTCGGTGTATAACCAATTAAACAGCTATGTAGTTTGCTTGACTGTTATTCTACATAAGTTGAGCTTGATGTAATTCAATCTGTTTGTGCAGTTAACTTCATTGGATATATCTTACTTACCTTCTAAAGAGTCTGTCTATTGCTTTGGCTCTCTGATATTTAGACTATATATATCCTCATATGCCTGTTGTTTTAGACATACAGCACTCTTTTTATTGTTTTCTGACCAATGATTTTGATTCTTGAGCAGCTCCAAACAAGATGAATGGCCTTGACCTAGAGACACACTCTTGGGGTCAGTCATTGCAAGAGGTTAACGTTACTGTTCCCGTGCCTCCTGGAACAAAGTCGAGATCCATTGCATGTGAGATTAAGAAAAATCATCTCAAAATTGGGCTCAAAGGCCAGCCTCCGATTATTGATGTAAGCATTTCCTGTTTCTTCTTCTTTTTTTTTTTTTTTGGTTCAGTTAAGTTTTCTCTAATTTGTCATTTGTGCTGAGTACTGAATCATGTTTTCTGTGTACCTACAGGGGGAGCTTTGCCATCCCGTCAAGGTTGATGACTGCTTTTGGAGTTTGGGTAGGGATTCTGAGTTACAAAGTTTAGATAAAATGTTCAGTGTCGACATTTGGTGTACCCATTTTAATATCCAAAATTATTTACCCGAAATATGATGTTATTATTGCTGACTGGTGATTATTCAATTTTGCAGAGGACCAGAAATCCATATCCATTCTCCTGACTAAACAAAACCAGATGGAATGGTGGAAAAGCTTGGTGAAGGGTGAGCCAGAGGTTGACACTCAAAAAGTTGAACCGGAAAACAGCAAATTGGCCGACTTAGACCCCGAGACCCGTTCGACTGTTGAGAAGATGATGGTAAGGACTTTAGAAACCTGGCCCACTGATTGGTGCACTTTTTTTTTTCCAAATTATATTATGAATTTCTTTGTTTTTCTATACTATTCTTAACGTTTTTTGTCTCGAATTCTCCTTTTCCAGTTTGATCAAAGGCAGAAAAAGATGGGACGCCCTACAAGTGACGAGATGCAGAAACAGGAAATATTGAAGAAGTTCATGGCAGAGGTGAATGCCAATGCCCACTTTTTACGGTTTCATTACTTTGCACTATAATCGCTAAATTCAAGTTCTTTTATTTTTTACTTGTGTAATTTTTTTTTTGTCATGTTCCAGCATCCGGAGATGGATTTTTCGAGGACCAAGATGTGCTAAGGAGGGAGTGCTGCTTATATCTATAGTCGGTAGAATACATATGTCGAATGAAAATTGCTAGGTTGCATATGATGCCAGTACTTTTGCTCCACTTCCAACGGTTTTTTGTCTTTAAGGAATGCCCTTTTTGCTGGAGTTTTTTTCTGGTTTAGATTCTGAAGGAACTCAACTGGGTGTGGAAATCATTTGTGTGGTGTAGATACTTTCTAATTTCCTTATATGTTGCTTGGATTAAGACAACATCATGGGTGTTTTGTGTTTATTTTATTGCATTAGTATTATTTTTCAGGACAATGGAGGTTTATTGCCATGGGAGCAAAATCCGTTGCGTTGCTTGACACAACTTTTTTCCAGTTTGTCTCGAAAATGCACCATCAATGAATCTTTGTTTTGCTGATTAAAGTTCAAACAGTTATGCTCTTTCAATAAACTGCATATATAAATATGGCAATTTAAAATATAATAATATAAAATACATTTTTCTTCACAAACTAACACACTATTTGTGTTTATTAATAAAACGACTAAAACAAAATTGGTTCCGACTAAAATTGTTATACGAAACGAGTTGTTCGTGAGCTTGACTCCACTTAAACTCGAGTTCGTTTTCGTTCAAGCTTAAATATAAAATATTTTATGCAATTTTCTATAATTTAATTTGTTTAATACACGAATTTGATTCGTTAATATTGATAAGTGAACCGAGTTCGATCTCGTATATTGGCTCATTTAGTTCGCAATACAAGACCCAATTCAACTCAATAAAAGTGCAAAATCAAGTTAGGGTATCGGGAGTTCGAGCTTGACCCAACCCGAACCGACCGGTTTAGCACGTAATTTAAAGTGGTTGACGGAAAAGCCCAATAATGCGAAACTTTTGTCCATTCCAATGATCACATATTCGGACCAAAATTATCACTTGGGAAAGACAATTGGAAGTCACATCTTATCTCGTGCCAAATCGGACAAGAATTATTGGCGCGAGCTGCAAAAGGGGTAATTATATAATTTTAATTCTATTTTAATGGCGGGGCCCAAAAAAATTAAAAATTGAATCTTTGCTTCCTTAGACTTTTTTTTTTTTTATTATTATAATATTGGACAATACAAGTGTAAGATCACATCATCACAAATAGGTTTGTAAACAAGCCGAGCCGAATTCGAGTTTAGGGTGTTCGAACTCGAGTGCGAGCCCTTAACAAGCCAAACCGAGCTCGACTCGTTAGATAAACGAGCTTGAAATCGAGCTCGAGCTCGAACCTTAACGTGCCGATCTCGAGCTTTAACAAGCCGAACTATAAAAAATTATATAAAAATTCTATTTTCGAGGCTTATCGAGCTGAATTCGTAGCCAAACGAGCTTTAAATAAGCTCGAACTCGGCTACTTAAGGCCTCAAACTCGAGCCGAACTCGAGCCTTAACGAGTCGAGTCAGATTCGTTTAATTTAACAGCACTAATCACAAACCACAAACAAAAACGTCCGCATACACACTAATCAAACTACCACCACCTGAATTGCTCGTGACTTCATAAAAAGGTAAATAAATTCGATCCTACTGGTAAGACACTATTGTTATTCGTAGGAACGAAATTTATGTCCAGAAGTAGGAAAGACTTGTGAGTGATTTATGGGTC